AGTGGCCCTCCGTCGTCAAGAGAAGCGGGAAATCAGAAAATTTTAAGAAATATCTAACTGTTTAAATGTTGGTAACTTATTCAAAATTTATTAAAATACCAAGTGGGTCAACACTATTCTAGTCAAGCAAAACAAGCCTGCAGCTGAGTGTAGCCTCTGGGGATGTAGAGTGTAGCAGTAAAGTACTTTATACCCTATTTTTGGTTTAGTCCCTGAGAACTAAGAGAAAATTTACAGCTACATCAACATACCTCTATGGAGTATGAAGTCCAAGTGCCATAATTAATTTGGAAATATTCTAATGAGGCAATGTGCCATGATGAAAAACACAGCTTTCTTGAAGCCAGGTGTGTCTGGGGAATCCTGGGTATTTCACTTATTAGGTTGGGTAATGTTTGATTCCTCACCTGGAAATAAGGATGACAAAATTGCCTTGTAAGTTTGTCTAAATGATTAGAGATAAAAATATGAAAATTTCTTAGCATACTGTCTGGCATTTGAACAGTGTTCCATAAATGGTAGCTATGACTGCTATTATGAAATATAAAATATAAGTTTCCAACAGCATGTCTCTTTACGCCCCACAAACATCCGTTGTGCCCGTGCCCTGGCTGCTCTCACCCCTGTCCACCCTCCCTCTGCACTTGGGTTTCATCACATGACCTAGTGGCCCGCACATGGCCCATCAGTACACTGTGAAGTTTCCTACCTCCTCGCCTCAGCCGTGTTCTCACCTCTACCTGGAATGCCTGTTCCTTCCTTCTTCATTTGGTTGACTCCTATGAGACTCAACCAAGATGTCCCCTCTTCTAGTAAGTCTTTCTTGAATGCCACTTCCCTCCAGTCTAGGCAGAACATCCCTCCCTTACTGCCTTGTGTTTGTCTCTGTCATGGCATTTATTGAGGAGTATTGTCAACCATGAGCTCCTGGGAGACAGCAGTTGGATCAATCCCTTCATTGTCCCTAGCATGTGGGTACAATGCCTGTCCCTAGCATGTCATTAAGGCTCAAAAAATGGATAAAGGAGGGAATGAATAAATGAAGTGACTGGGGTCTGGCATGGCGAGAACCCACTCAGTGTCTAGCTTCTTCTTGCTTTACAAATGCAAATCTTTGGCAGCCTCTCTCCCCTTGCCTTTCCAATCCCCACCCTGGCTACTGCTGCCTTCCCCAAAGCCAATGGAGATTTCCATTCCAGAATAGTAGTTTAAAACAGAGAAGGTACCTCAATGTCACCTCCTGGGTCTTATAAGTGGGGACTAGAAGGACATCTGGGAGGGTTCCTTTTGAAAGGTAATAGAGAACACAAAATAGATCACCTTTGTTGGAGGCAAAGAAGAGGAGAACCATAACCCAAGGTCTTACCTTCACTTTCAGAGCAAGTAGTTTCCTAGCTGAGTGAGAGCAGGAACAGGTGTGTAGCCATAGTGGGCGTGTTGGCACTGCATCCACCAGGAGGCATTCATGGTCCTCTGGCAGAAGAAAAGCATATTCTGGGACAGGGCTGCCATCAGCATATACAGTGCCTATGAGTGAAGAAAAGACACCGTTCCTCCAGAGGGAAGCAGTCCCCTGCTGGAATACTTAGTGAGAGAAGCATGGGCTGGACTTCATCCACCCGGGCCCTTGTCCAGGCACCTTTGTGAACTACCTGTACAACCGACTGAGGTAGCCCCGACAGGAGAAACTGTTGCCCCTCATCATGCACAATATTAGAGAAATGGTTATAAATAATGTGCAAACATTATTCTTTTCTAGGAACATGGGTGACTTTCGGAGGTCAAATTTCAGATGAGGTAAGTTACTTTTGGCTTCTATGATGCTGATCAAGGGAAGTGCAGAGAGCTGTACAGAAGTTCTCTTCCTGACGTTTTTACCAAGATAATGTTTTAATCATGGGAAATGGTTAAGACTGACTTAAAGATTATTTTCAATTTTAGCTTGCCTCTTGTATTTTTCACATCTATCTATTAATAGGGCTTGAGGCTGTCAATCTATTACATGTGTAGGCTCAACAGTCAGAGAATGAGCCAGTTTGGAATTAACATTTAGCCACTTTATGAAAAGATTTTATTGCAGTCGTTATGTGTTTTTATTTGTTATATTTATTCTTTAGCTCCACCTAGGTTGACCGACTAGTTCTCATCTGCTCAGGACTTTCTTGGTTTTAGCACTGAAAGTCCCCCTCACCAAAACCCTCTCAGTCCTGGGCAAACTGGAACAGTTGGTCAACCCACCTTGAGAGAGTTAATCTAACCTCTCTGAGCCTCAGTTCCTCCTCTGCAAAATTGGATGACAGTGCTGACCTTGAAGGTCTGCTGAGAGGATTAACCATGTCATGTGTGTCAGATGTTTATACAGCCTCTGACTAGCAGGTAGCACTCAGTAAATGGCAGCTATAGTAATTATATTTACCATAAAATTCTTTTAAGTCATTGTTTATACATTTGAGACAGTACTTACCAAAGTGATATTTTTATCGTTGCCTTTGAGGAATACCTTCACGGCATTGGTGAGGTATGCGGGCATCAGGCATCAAGAACTCTCCTGAGGGCAACGCCCTGAGTCCCTCTGATCCTTCCTCTCCTACCTGCAAGACCACTGAGGGATCAGGGATAGTGTATCCAAGTGGGTTCACTCAGTAGGATCCAATCCCACTTGGCCACTGACTATCCTTGATTTCCTAACATACACGCTTACTAACAGTTGCCACGTCAGTAAAACGCAGATTGCCTCTACTTGGCAGGACTGTGGTTGAGATGACTGAGAGGATGCCTGTGAGGTACTTAGCCAAGTGCCTGGCCCAGAATAAACCCTTTGCAAAGGTGGTTCTTACTATTATTCCTAAGGAGAACTAGGAGGAACAGAGGCTTTTCCCCACAGCTCCGAAAGTTATTCCTGTTATTTAGCTGATCTGGGGGAGGGGTCTTCACTGCATATTCTTATCTGTCTAAATGCCAGTTCCCAGTATTGGACATAGGTCACCATAGAGGGGTTGCCTATGAGGGGTTCTCTGAAGCAGACTCTGAGATGGAGATTAGCAAGCAGGACAGTTATGAGAAGTGCTCTCAGGACCAACACAGGGCAGGTAAGGAAAGAGCCTTGTGCAGACCAGGAAGTTGGGGCCATGACCTCAGCCGACCCCATAGGGATCTCTGAGGCTGAGATGACCCTGCAGAGTTGTCCCAAGTTGGGCAAGGGACCTGGGCCTTTATCTCCCCTGTACTGACTAGGTATTGGCTAGAGGCTGCCATAGAAGCGGGTCTGACTTTGGGCTAGGTAACTCTAGCCAGGGGCAATTTCCAGAGAGGGCTGACAGCTGACAGCCATCTGATGGCAGCATTCCCAGCAGCTGGGGAACAAGGCCTTCCATTCTGAAGGAGGACCCAGGTGGCACATCCCAGAACCTATTGCAGGGCCCTCTGACTGGCATCAGGTAGGCGTGTGTGGAGGAGTCACAGAGGCAAATCTGCAGATAGAGGAGCAAAGGCCACACCGGTAAGTCAGATACGAAATAGGCAGCAAGCAGGGAGGGAGGTCTAAAGTTAATAGTCCACTGTATCCAGCACGTGTATAAGCGACTACTGCCTGGAGGGTGCTTGGAGGGAAAAAGACAAAATATCCTCCCTTTCGGAGTGGAGGGGCCACGGTAAGTGCATCATTTCCCCCGTCTTTGCTCTCCCCTACACTGTGCTCTCTGCTGCAATGAGCTCAGCTTGCCCAGGTCAGAGCGGTCAGGGCTGACCTCTAAGATGAGTCATTTCAAAATTCCACTTCTAAAAACTGTACGATAAAGCTGTCACAAATGGCTGGGGAGTCGCTCGCCTCCAATGCAGACCAGACAAATAGCTATTGTACTTCCAGAGAGCAGCTGTGGCCTTGCCCAGGTCCACACAGGGAGAACGCCAGCGAGGAGAAGGGAGCGAGGCACAGCCCGACCCAGTCACACCTGAATTGCTCGAGCTCAGCTATTTCTCATGGCAAAAACACGGACCAATAGCAATGCATTCACCTCCCTGATTTTCCTGCTTTCTCTCTGGCATCTGACAATCTAAATGCAAAGAAGATGCAAATATGGGATACCAGGGCTGACTCCACCATAATGTGCTGAGTGACACAATTATCAACGCTGCCAGAGGTGGTGCTGTCCCCATCAGAGGGAGAGTTCAGCCATATATTGAATAACCACTTGGCAGGGATAGATCAAAACGATTCAGACACATCAAACTAAATAACTCTATAGGGTGCCTCCCAAAGATGACTTGGCTTCATCATAAAACCAAGATAGATGTTACTCATATTAAATAATAATTTTCTAAAAATAAGAGTATATTACCATCTTATAGCACTTAATTTCCAGAGTTTTACCTACATTTTCTTATCTGTAAGGTAAATTACCTTTAATTGCAGGTGACAATAAACCCAATGCAAATTGACTTAACCAGTAAGAGAAGAAGAATTTTGACTTTTAAACTAGAAGTGTAGAAATAGAGCAACCTTCAGGGATGGCTCAGTCACGGCCCCCACTCCATTGCCCAGCGATTCTCTCAGCCCTGTACCCCTAGTGTACCAAGGTCTTCCTTGGGTAGTGAGGTAGCTGCAGGAATTCTAGGCCTCATTAGAACAGTAACTCCAGGGAGAGTGTTGCTTCTAGAAACTCCATAAGAACAAAGAAAGATGTTCCCAGAAGTCCTCAGCAAATCAACTCTCACTGGCCCAGATGTGTCACATGACCCTTCCTGACCCAATTTCTCTTCGGCCCTGCAGCCCCACTGGAGGGAGGTGAGGTCAGCTTTGCCTGAGGCCTCTGACTCCCTGGACAAGGAGGAGGTCCCTGGACAGAATCATCCTCATTTTGCAGATGAGGAAACTGAAATAGAGAGGTCAAATGATGTGCCCAAGTTTGTCTAGTAATCGGGACACTCAAAGCTGGAAACTAGTCTTCAGACTTAGTTCAGTGATTTTCTTTTTTTTTTAATTATTCCGCATCCAGATCTTCAAATCGTATGGTTAGGGAGCATCTTGGCAATCATTTAGTCCAAGCCTCTATCTGGTATTCTCCATCTTACCTTAAAATTTCTCTCT